GAAGGAAATTAAAAAAACTCTGTTTTTTTCAAAAGAAAGGAAAATCGGCTTAATGTATGGACCTACAATTGACTAAGTTCATTTTGATTGGTCAATTACCGGTGTGGTACCCCTAGTCGCCTTGAACCCAGTCCTGTCTTTCTGAAGAAGTAACCAACTCCGAGCCCGATGTAAAAATCTTAGTAGAGAAATGAGAATTTGAATTTTGCTGCCTTATTATGTTCCCCAAACGAAGTTTGGGAACATATTGTTTTTACTCTGTTTCTTATTATGTTCCCCAAACGAAGTTGGGGAACATATTGTTTTTACTCTGTTTCTTATTATTATTATTCTTATTCTTATTTTTCTTCCTGGGAAAATTTTGTCCGCGAGTGATCTTGTAAACTACACATCCGACTTAGGTGAAACCTTTTTAGGGTAAGTAGGCATGTTATGTAGATTTGCGGAATCAAGGTCATTTTGCGCGCACGTGCTTGCACGAGCGCGCACGTGCAAAACTTGAAATGACCAATATATAATGGATATAACTGTAACTTTTCTATTTTTAGACGAAATGTTTTGAAACTCATAATGTAAGGATATATGAGTAGTATGCACAAGATGACATGGTCAAAATAGCAAGATCGCACGTGCAAGCACGTGCGCTTCGCTCTGATTGGCTGAAACTAAAGTCTCAATATCTTAATTTCTTGTTTTTTGATAAAATCATTTGAAATTTTGAACATAGTCATACATTAGGGAGATCTACAGCCCGTAATAAAAGAAATATCATGAAAGCATGTGCATGCACGTGTGCTTGCAAGAGCTCGCACGTGCAACACGAGAAATGTCCAATATAATTGATACAGACGTAACTATTTAAATTATTGATGATATGCTTTAAAACTCATATTAGAAGTATATATTAGAAGCATAGACAAAATGACATGGTCAAAAAGCAAGATCTCATGCGCATGCACGTGCGCTTTGCTCTGATTGGCTGAAACTAAAGTCTCAATATCTTTCTTGTTTTTTGACGAAATCCTTTGAAATTTTAAATATAGACATGCATTAGGATATCCTACAATAAAATATATAGCAATTATTTTGAAAACGCGTGCATGCACGTGCGCTGCAATCTGATTGGCTTATGCTTTAAATAGCTATAACTCCCTTGGTTTTCAACCAAACAGGATGGGATTTGGAACATAGATAGATATAATGGACTTCTACAAGAAGACATGGTCACCATGCACATGCATACACGTGCATGTACGTGCGCTGCAATCTGATTGGCTGAAACTTTGAACAGCTATAACTCCCTTGGTTTTCAACCAAACGGGGTGGGATTTAGAACATAGATAGATGTAATGGACTTCTACAAGAAAGTATGGTCGCCATGCTCATGTGAGCACGTGCGTGAACGTGAAATGAGTAAAATCAAAAATACACTTGAATTAGCGTATTTTTAATACGTTTGGATTAAATACTTTGATATTTAGTATATTAAAATCTATAGATTGTAAAGACAAGATTGTATGGTCATTACGCACATGCATTCACATGCGCACGCGTGCAATGCTAAAATTTGAATGAAATTGGTACACTTCTGGGTAAACGTTGTTAAAGTCTCAAATGCGTAGAGTTTGTCTTATTTAATGAAGCTTAAAGGGAATATGGCACCAAAAGGGAGTTGGGGAGCGTTTGGGGAACATATGTAACGGTCCCCGTTACAATAAGCACTAGCTATTATTATTCTTTTTTTCTTCTTTGTTCTCCGGTACTTTTTTTGTCCGCGAGTGTTCTCAGAAACTGTTCACCCAACTAAGTTAAAACCTTTTTAGGGTTAATAGGTGTCAAGTGTAGGTGTGCACAACGAAGGTCATTTTGCGCGCATACGCATGCACGTGCGTGCGCGTGAAATGAGTGAAATGACGATATACTTATTATAGCCATAACTTTTACATTTTTTATTGAAATGCTTTGAAATTCATTCTATAAGGATATATTAATAGTCTAGATAATATGACATGGTCAAATTAGCACGAACTCACGTGCATGCACGTGCGCTTCCCTCTGATTGGCTGAAACAAAGATTTCAATATCTCTTTTGTTTTTTGACGAAATGCTTTGAAATTTTAAACATAGTCATGCATTAGGATATACTACAAAATAATATATAGCAGGTATCATGAAAACACGCGCATGCACATGCGCTGCAATCTGATTGGCTTAAACTTTAAATGGGTATAACTCCTTTGATTTTCAACCAAACAGGATGGGATTTAGAACATAGATAGACATAGTGGATTCCTACAAAAAGGTAAGGTCATCATGCACATGCATGCACGTGCATGCACGTGAGATGGGTAAAATCAAAAATACACTTGATGAAGCGTATTTTTTAATACTTTTGGATTAAATGCTTTATTATTTTATTATATTAATGTAAATAGATAGTGTAGACAAGAGAATATTGTCATTACGCACATGCATTTACATGTGCACGCGTGCAAATGCTAAAATTTGAATATACTCGGTATACTTCAGGGAAACGTTGTTAAAGTGTAAAATGCATAGAGTTTGTCGTTTTTAATGAAGCTTAAAGGGAGTATGGCACCAAAAGGGAGTTGGGGAGCGTTTGGGGAACATCTGTAACGGTTCCCGTTACAATTAGCCCTAGTTATTATTATTATTCTTTTTTCTTCTTATTTCTTCTCCGGTACTTTTTTGTCCAGAAGTGTTCTCAGAAACTGTTCACCAAACTAAGTTAAAACCTTTTTAGGGTTAATGGGTGTGTAGTGTAGGTGTGCGGAACGAAGGTCATTTTGCCCGCATACGCCTGCACGTGCGGGCGCGTGAAGTGAGTGAAATAACTGATATACTTAATATGGCCATAACTTTTACATTTTTTGATGAAATGCTTTGAAACTCATTACATAAAGATATATTAATAGTGTTAATATCATGACACTGTCAAATTAGCACGAACTCACGCGCGTGCACGTGAGCTTCGCTCTGATTGGCTGAAACAAAAATCTCAATATCTCTTTCGTTTTTTGACGAAATGCTTTGAAATTTCAAACATAGTCATGAACTAGGATATTTTACAATATGATATCAAAAAAATTTCAAGAAATCACGCGCATGCACGTGTGCTGCAATCTGATTGGCTGAAACTTTGAAAGTCTATATCTCCTTTGTTTTTTGATGAAATGCTTTGAAATTTAAAACATAGTTATACTTTAGAATACCTGCAATATGATATACAAAAAATTCATGAAATCACGAGCATGCACGTGTGCTGCAATCTGATTGGCTGAAACTTGAAATGGCTATAACTCTCTTGTTTTTCAACCAAACAGGATGGGATTCAGAACATAGATAAGTATAAGGAACTCGTACAAGAAGGTACGGTCATCATGCACGTGCACGCAAGTGCGTGCATTTGGAACGATTGAACTTAAAAATAAACTAAAATGAGTGATTTTTAATACTTTTGGACTGAATTCTTTGATATATAGTATATCTAAATATATAGATAGTGTAGACAAGATGATATGGTCATAACGCACATGCATTCACATGCGCACGGGTGCTATGCTGAAATTTAAATATAATTGGTACCATTTGGGTAAATTTTGTTAAAGTCTAAATTACCAGAATTTGTCTTATTTAATGAAGCTTACAGTGAATATGGCACCAAAAGGGAGTTGGGGAGCGTTTGGGGAACATCTGTAACGGTTCCCGTTACAATTAGCACTAGTTATTATTATTATTCTTTTTTTTCTTATTTGTTCTCCGGTACTTTTTTGTCCGGAAGTGTTCTCAGAAACTGTTCACCCAACTGACCTAAAACCTTTTTAGGGTTAATGGGTGTGTAGTGTAGGTGTGCGGAACGAAGGTCATTTTGCGCGCAAACGCTTGCACGTGCGTGCGCGTGCAACACGTGAAATGACTTATATACTTAATATAGCTATAACTTTTAAATTTTTAAATGAAATGATTTGAAACTCAGTATATAAAGATATATTAATAGTGTAGATAGTGTGACACTGTCAAATTAGCACGAACTCACGCGCATGCACGTGCGCTTCGCTCTGATTGGCAAAATCAAAAATCTCTGTATCTTCTCTGTTTTTTGACGAAATACTTTGAAATTTTTAACATTGTCATGAATTAGGATATCCTACAATATGATATAGAAAAAAAATCATGAAATCACGCGCATGCACGTGTGCTGCAATCTGATTGGCTGACACTTTAAATGACTATATCGCCTTTGTTTTCTAACGAAATGCTTTGAAATTTAAAGCATAATCATACATTAGGATGTCCTGCAATATGATATACAAAAAAAATTCAAGAAATTACGAGCATGCACGTGTGCTGCGATCTGATTGGCTGAAACTTTAAATGACTATGTATATCTCCTTTGTTTTTTGACGAAATGCTTTGAAATTTGAAACATGGACATTTATTAGGATATCCTACAATGTGATATAAAAAAAATCAAGAAATCACGCGCATGCACGTATGCTGCAATCTGATTGGCTGAAACTTGAAATGGCTATAACTCCCTTGTTTTTTAACCAAACAGGATGGGATTCAGAACATAGATAGATATAAGGGACTCCTACAGGAAGGTATGGTCATAATGCACGTGCACGCACATGCGTGCATTTGGAAAGAATGAAATTAGAAATACACTTGAATGAGTGATTTTTAATACTTTTGGACTGAAGGCTTTCATATATAGTACATTACAGGGAATATGGCACTAAAAGAGAGTTGGGGAGCGTTTGGGGAACATCTGTAACGGTCCCCGTTACAATTAGCACTAGTTTTGCTTTGTTTTTATAGAAAATGGTTCCTTTTCAGTGAAAATTAATCGTTGCGGATTGACTTCAAACTGACGAATCGCGATTATAAAAGATGACTCAAATAATAATTGGTTTACAATATTGACTGGACAGAGTTGATTTTTCTATTTGAAGTATAGTATAATTAAGTGACATATCATTGTATTCAATACATTCAACTCCAGGCTCAACAGAAAAGCCAGTTTTATCGAAACTTGCATTCCTATATGAAGGGAGTTCTAATTTGTTTATAAATAAAGGGAGATGTAAATATTATAACAAATTCAAACTGGGTACAAGTCAACTTAAAATACATGTAAATGAAATTGTTGTGAGATAAAATTAATTCAGCATATTAGCAAACCTATTCCTTATCGTAATACAGACATGATAAGCCGGGCTTTGGGGCCAGAATTTGGAGGAAGCATTGGTTTTCTGTTCTTTGTGGCCAATGTATTAGCTGTGGGTCTTTATGTCACAGGGTTTGTGGAAGCCATGATTGAGAATTTTGGACCAGGAGGTAATATTTCCCGATGATAGTTTACATTCAGTAGCTTTGTGTTTGTGTGTGCACAATTCCCTTATAAAGTGTGACTTAAATTCATTAATCACTCATTTGAGAAAGTATTTATTTAATAATTCAGTACTTTAATAAACATTATCTTTAAGTTAACTACTGATATAAAATCCAGTACAATACAAGAGACTTTTGCTAACATTCACAACTTTACCCTTGGTATTTAAGTAATTAAAACATTTCGTTATTGTTTTTGCTCTCTTTAGTGTCATATTGTCATATTTATTGCAGAGGACAAATTACTGAAATAACTCTTTGATAACACCAAAAAAAAGTAAACCAAATACCGTATAAGTGGAAATTTTAGTGAGACACAAATTTAGCGATTTGTCCTTAGAAACTGGTATTTCATTTCTAGCGAGATGTAATTTTAGCAATTTTAAAATGCTCTATTAAAAACCTATCACAAACAAGAGGCCCACGGGCCTTATAGGTCACCTGAGTATTGTGTAACAACTTTCAAACAATTAAATTTGGTACCTGTTTTAAACCAGAGGCCATGAAATTCACAATTCACAATTTTGAAAGAGGCACCATTGCTTATCATAATTATTAACTTAGCATGCTTACTCTATTTACCCAGAGGTAGATCAGAGTAACAAAGAGAAAATGCACTTCCACTTTATACCCAGTTGTGCACCTCACCCCAAAGGAACACTGACCCAGAGGCCACATATTTCAAAATTTTGCAAATTTTATCATAAAATGGTTGATTAATACCAAAGAGCAGATTTCAAAGCATTAATTTATTTTCAGACTTTGTTGCCTTCCCCCCCCCCCCCCCCCCTCTGACCCAGGGGCATAAAAAAACCACTTTGCTAGATGCACCTTTCTTCATCATAAATATATGTACTTGGAACATTGGCATAAAAGAAGCAAAGGAAAATATTTTCAAAGAATTAATGTCTTTTTACTTTATAATCAATAGAGCCCCACCCTAACACCAGAACCCCTGACCCTGGAGCCATGAATTTCACAATTTTAGAAGAGGCACTCTTGCTCATCATAACGATGTGCTTAGTTAGTTTATTGAATACCCAGGACTGCCAGGAGCAGAGAAGATTTTCAAAGAATTAATGCATTTTCACTATATAATCAATAGAGCCCCACCCTAACACCAGAACCCCTGACCCTGGGGCCACAAAATTCACAATTTTGGTAGAGGCACTTTTGCTCATCATAACTATGTACTTAGATAATTTATTTAATACCCAGGAGCAGAGAAGAAGATTTTCAAAGAAATAATGCATTTTCACTATATAATCTATATAGCCCCGCCCTAGCACTAGAACCCCTTACCCTGCATGGGGCCATGAATTTCACAATTTTGGTAGAGGACTCAATGCTCATTACATTCATGCTAACAGTTTGCTTGCTTGATGTCCAGGAGTAAAGAAGAAGATTTTTAAAGATTGCAATAATTTTAGTTGTTTTGGCCCCACCCCTCAGGCCCCAGGGATGCGGGGACCATGAAATTCACAATTTTTGTTCCCCTTCACCCATAGATGCTGTATACCAAATTTGGTTGAAATTGGTTCAGTGGTTTCAGAGAAGAAGCTGAAAATGTTTAAATGTTAACACACGACGGACGACGATGGACGAAAACGCATAGCAATACTGGTCACCTGAGTTACCCAGGTGACAATTAATTTTTAGCGATATTCAATTTAAGCAATCTAATAAAGTTCTCTTATAATGCCAAAATTAAATCCTGGCAAAAAATTCTGCTTATACTTTTATATTTTTTTCATATTCAACAGGGACCATGGTAGACCAGCCATTTTTAAAGGGTGACCATGATTTCTGGTACAAGTACCTGTACTGTACAATCGTCTTGTTTGTGTGTCTGGGTATCTGTATTGTTGGAGGTGCCATGTTTGCCAAAACCTCACTGTTAATATTTATGGTAGGTACATACATCTACATCATAATTTAAATGATTATGTAAAACTAATCCAGGGTTTGTTTTTGAAGTACATGTACACGTATAAAAATTTGCACATTCATCACTTGTCTTTAAAGGATACAAAATATAAATTGCATTGTCTCTTTTCATTTTTTAAATCTCCAAACTCTAGGCACATTTACACTTCAGAAATATATTTCCTGTCTGAATTAGATTTTTCCTTCTTTTTTTATGAGAAGTGAAACGGAAACAGGAAATTCTTGTCTTTTAAATTAATGAAAACATCTATTTTCTGCATACATGTAACGTGTACAACATGTACTACAAGTACATACAAACTGTATACCCAAAGTTACTTTTTCTGTGTTTAATAGATGTACTAGATCTAGCATGTTTTTACAGTACATGTATAAGTACTTGCACTTAAAGATCAATTACAGATCCGTACAAAAATAGATTTTACCAAATTGAATAGTACTTTGTTTAAATATGGTAATATTAAAATATGAGATTCACATAAACCGAACATTTATGGAAATTGTATGCCTAATAAACAGTATAAGCTAATTTGATTTTGAAATAAAACTGAAAAAGTTATGAAACAAATTATATCAATGCACAAATATATATAAATTTTAGACTTGTAAATATCTCCTGGGGCCCACTCGTGGCACCTTTTCTTATTCCAGAATAATTACCATTCTGTCTGCTTGATTGGTTTGGGTAGGGTAGACTGAGAAGGCCCTCTCAGCCTTCCACACCAAAGATGGAAGGATAGCATTCCAATATGGCGTAAGCGGGTGGGTGAAAACTGGTGACTTTAATTATTGTAAATAAACCAAACTTAATAAAACAAAATACAGTTGCAAAAAAGTATTTTTATAATGTATGAAGGGTAATTCTGTAAAGAAGCATTTAATTGCAGTAAAATCAACCACTGAATAGTTTCATAATTTACCATGTAATACGAGGTGAAGATTTGAGCCATAAATAGGTCCCTTATTTGACCATAATTATTTTTTTAAAAAATCATACATGTAGTTTAATATTCTTCTGTCTCAGGCACTTGAAGTTTTAACCTTTCTTTACATAAATAAAAAAAAAATACCAAAACCATTATATTAAATAATTTTTTTCCACTTTTAATTATCTCTTCAAGTTTCCCTTTTGAACTAAAATTTAAAGCTTTAAATTAAAGGATTCAAATTCTTGAAAAACAACTGCAGTAATTAAAAACATTGCAGATAATATTTCATCATATTCAATACCCTTCTGAACACTCGCTTTAGACATACATATTCCAACCCTTCCACATTCCAATCTGCTTCTAGAAGGGTCCCAATCGAGTGGGCCCCTGGAATATAACAAGAGAATGGTTATGTCTGATAGAAATGAAAGTAGTAAGGCCATTTAAAACAAGGGCACTACAAAGCAGGGCATTCCCTCACAAAGAGATCTATAAATCAAGACAGCATTTGAAATAAATCCTGATGCAAATGTTGCACAGGATCAACTTACTTACCTACAAATACACACACAACTATTACAATAATGAAAAAATTCTACATTATGGTTATATATTGTAGATTGTTGTGATATGTCTTCTCTCTGTGATTGTAAGTGTTTTTGCCAAAAATTCTACCACCCCCATAGAGTACGCACAACAGGCAAAGCATCATAATGAAAGGAGAAACATATCCCAGTTCTGTTATGAGGTCAACGCCACTGGCTACGTACAGGATTCAGCAAACTACACAGGCCTCAGGGCAGCTACATTCCATGATAATACATTTTGTAAGTTAAATTCTCTTTCATTATATGATGCATGAATATCATCAGTTTAAAATTAATTTCTTCAAAATAAGATAAAGCTAGCTTATTTTTTAGTTGAAATTATTTGTCTTGATTTGAAAGTTTTAATTCATAAATTGTAGAATGTATACTAAATTTTTCAAAGATTAATTGGGTCTCGAATTTTTTGAATTTTTCAGCACATTATGAGAAGGACTACATTTCTAAGGACATGATGACCTTTGCCTCCGTGTTCGCCATTTTGTTCAGCAGTGTGACGGGAATTCTCAATGGTACGAATGTATGGTCAAGTAGTCATCAACAAAAATGTGATAAAAAATCCGCGACCTC